CTCCCGGCGGGTGGGTCGGGGGGTCCCTGCAGGTGGGGTCAGGGGGTCCCTGCAGGTGGGATCATGGCTCCTGAAAAGCAGCAGCAGTTGGAGCTGCCTGGGCCTTGTCCCTGGGGACTCCCCTGCTGGGCTCTTGTCTCCAGCCCTCCCAGGGGGGGCAGGTTTAACGAGGCTCCTCCTGCTTCCTTCCCAGTGTTTGGAATGGTGCCTTTCCTCAACTCCATCCTGGGGACCATGCTGCCCATGCTGGGCATGGCCAAGCAGGACCACATGAAGTCTGTCTTCTGCTACGGTGAGGACAAAGGGTTTCCTGGACCTTCTGAGGCTGCAGGGATTTCAGAGGAGTTGTGGGAGAGTTTTCCCCTTCCCTGGAAAAGGAGGGACTGTGGAGGGAGCCTGGAGAGTTGCTTGGGATGGACCTTTCCTGAATGTCTGGGAGCAGGGACCTGGGAGGTTGTGGGGAGGGATGGGGAGTTGTCAGCTCTGGGAGATCCCCCTAAAGGCCTTTTCCATCTCCTGCTGATCCCAGAAAAGCTGGGGAGGGGCTTGGGACAAGGGCAGGGAGGGATGGGAGCAGGGGGAAGGGTTTCCAGCTGGCAGAGGGAGCTGGAGCTGAGATGGGAGGGAGAAATTCTGGGCTGTGAGGGTGGGGAGCCCCTGGCCCAGGTTGGCCAGGGAAGCTGTGGCTGCCCCATCCCTGGGGGTGTTGAAGGGCAGGTTGGATGGGGCCTGGAGCAGCCTGGGCTGCTGGGAGGTGTCCCTGCCCATGCAGGGGGGGCACTGGGTGGGCTTTGAGGTCCCTCCAACCCAAACCAGCTGGGATTGCACAATTTCATAGCCCTCCTGCCCTTTGCTTTCTCCTCTGGCCAAGAGGACCTGGATGCTCCAGATCCATCCCAAGCCAGGTTGGGGTGACCAGCCTGGTGGGGTGGGGGAAGGAAAGAGGGATGAGTTGTCCAGAACTTGGTCCAAACCCAGCTCTCCCTTTATCCAGACCCTGAACCTTCTCTCCATCCCAAACCTCTGCCCTGCTGGGGGTGGGGGAGGCTGGTGCTGGGCCAGCTCAGAGCCACTCGTGTCACTGTCCCCAGCTGGTCCCAGGCTGGGACACTCCTGGGACACGAGGGTTTCCCCCCTGGTGATTCCCTCCCCCAGCCCTGGGCTGGCCCAGAGCTCCTGCTGGTGGGTTTGGTGCAGAAACACCAGGCTGTGACCTGGTGTGACCTGGTGTGACCTGGTGTGACACGACCCCCTGCCCCCCCAGCCCAGCACCCTCTGGCTTCGTGCTCTTCCTTCCATGCTTGGGCAAAACCAAGTGCTGGGCTGGGGGAGCTGGAGGTTCAAGGGCTCTGGGTGGTTCCACAGGAGCTGCTGGTGGCCTTGCTCTTATCTCTTGGTGTTGACATCCATGGCCTGGGAATGCTGATGTGGCTCCGTGTGCTGGGAGTGACTGGGATGAGTGGGGGGTGACTGGGGTGAGTGGGAGCTGCCCAGGAGGCTGCAGGGCTGGGTGCAGCAGCTTCTGTTCCTCCTGGAAACAGGGAGGTTGGTGTCTCAGCTGGTTCCTGGGCTCCCTGCAGGCCAGGAAGGGTTGGAAGTTGTTGGGTGTGAAGGGACCTTCAGGGCTCCTGTCCCTGTGTTGAGCTCAGAGGGAGAACGTGCAGCTCCTGAGCTGGGTCTGTGCAGGAACATTCCCAGAAGGTCATGGCCAAGGTCAGACCATCTTCCTGGACATGGGGCATCCTCCTCCTTCCATCATGTCCAGCCCAACCCCTGGGCTGGTTTAGTTGTAGAATAGAATCATGGAATTGTCCAGGTTGGAAAAGCCCTTTAGGATCCCCCAGCCCTGCCCATTCCCCACTGCCCCGTGTCCCTCAGCACCATCCCCAGGGCTTGGAAACCCCCCCAGGGATGGGGACTCCCCCCCTGCCCTGGGCAGCCTGGGCCAGGCCCTGACACCCCTTGCCAGGCAGGAATTGTTCCCCAGATCCAACCTCAACCTCCCCTGGCACAACTTGAGGCCCAGGGCTTGTTCCTGGGGAGCAGAGCCCGACCCCCCTGGCTCCAACCTCCTCTCAGCAGCTGCAGAGCCAGCAGGTCTCCCCTCAGCCTCCTTTGCTCCAGGATCAGCACCCCCAGCTCCCCCAGCTGCTCCTGGTCACCCTTGTGCTCCCAGGTTGCCCAGGGAAGCTGTGGCTGCCCCATCCCTGGGGGTGTTGAAGGGCAGGTTGGATGGGGCTTGGAGCAGCCTGGGCTGCTGGGAGGTGTCCCTGCCCAGGCAGGGGGGCACTGGGTGGGCTTTGAGGTCCCTCCAACCCAAACCAGGCTGGGATTCTATGGAATCTAGATGTTCCCTGCTCCACAAAAGGGTTGGGGGGATTTGGGGACCCTCCTGACTCCTCCAAGGTGGGCACTGATGGGAACTCACAGTTCCTGTCCAAGGAGCAGCATCCCTGCCTGCCCTGCCTGCTCTGGCAGCACAAGCTCCTCCTGGCAGCATCAGACCCTCCTGCTGGTGTCTCCTCATCCCCACGTCCCCTCTCAGCCCTTCCCACCCTCCTGAGCTGTGGGGGGCAGGTTGGGGGGTTCTGGA